CTGTAAAACAGCAATTATGTTGAGTCAGGCTTGATTTTTAGTAATCTTTTCCTGTTAAATCAATAAATCAAATCAATCAAATGAAGATCAGGGTTACGGCTTAAGTTGGATGTTTAGTGTTATTAAAAGGTTAAGCATCATGATCTGGTTTAGAGTTAGGGTTATTTACCGCACATTTTCTAAGTTTTTTTAAAAATATATCTGGACAGTAGGTACTGTGAATGTGTTGTTAAAACCACTTCAGTCCAGAAATAAATCAGTGTGGTTCAAACAAGCTAAAAATGTTTATGCTTACATTCATAGTCATTTAAAAAGTCCTAATATCAATKATAGTGACTGGTTGTACTTCTGGCAGGATTAGCAAAATATTTCTCCCCGATTATTTGTGCAATGCAAAACTGACAGTGTGTGCATGAACTGCTTTGATTTGTTTTGTTTCGTTTTATTAAAGTTGCCCACTTTGATCAATCGATGTTGTTTAAAGCAGTGTTTTTCAACCCTGGCCCTCAAGGTGCGCTGTCCTGCATGTTTTAGGTGTTTCTTGCTTCAACGCTGATTTTAAATGATAACTGATTAACAGGCTTTTGGTGAACTGCAATCATCTGAATCAAGATGTGTTAAAGCAGGAAAACATCTAAAACCTGCAGGGCGGTGTGAGGATCAGGGCAACGCTGGTTTAAAGAGCCATCTGCAACAGGTAAGATGTTAACTGTTTATAACTTTTAGGGCTACACTGCAGCAGCAGACATAAATAGTTGCATTAAACCAGGAGGAAGTTTAGGATTAGGATTATTTGGGTTGAAGGGCGTGACTTGTGTCCGTGGCTCCCCCCTCCTCTTCCTCAGCTCTCCCCTGTGTGTTTCAGCGCTCAGTCACACCTGAAGTGACGGAGTTGCGCGCGCGGCTGTGGGCGCACAGAGCTGCGACAGGAGGAGGAGATGTGCGCACATTACTGGGACAGGTTTTTTTCTTTCCCAAACAGGGAGTCGCGTTTCTAAACATCTGTTTTATTATTCTAAGTGTTGTCCATCCTGCGTGTCGTCAGAGCACCATGCGAGCAGCGGAGACGCGCCCTGCGGTGCCATGCTGATGCCGAACAAGTCCCGGACTCTGCTGCTGGCTCTGACCGCGACGGCTGCGCTTCTCCTCCTCCTCCTCCCGCCGTCATGCCGGGGCTGGAGCGACGAGGACCTCCTCCTGCCTCCCATCAACTCCTCCACCCGGTTCCTGGCCAACCTGGAGGTGGACGTGCGCTTCTCCAAGAGGTCCGCGGAGGAGAGCGGCGACGCGTCGCCCGCGGACTCCGCCGCCGCGCCGCCGCCGCCCCTGCAGACCCTCAGCCCGGCTCCGAGCCAGCAGCAGTGCAACGTGAGCGTCCACAGACTGCAGCCCACCTCCCTGGTGGCCCGCTGGGACAGCGGCTTCGGCTTCCAGTGTGACGTGGTCCTCTACACCACCAACAACCACGGCAGGGCCTTCTTCTCCGCCGCCGTCAACCGTGCCATCTCCCCCGTGGTCATCGAGCACCTGGGGGTCACCGGGGGTCAGCAGGAGATGAGGCTGTGCGTGGGCTGCGGGATGTCCCGGTACCGCAGGTTCGGCCAGGGCCGCTCCAGGGGAGGGGGCCAGCAGCAGCAGCACAGCGGGGATCAGGTCACCTTCTGCTGCGTGGACTTCAGCCTGGACGAGCTGCGGGGGGACAAAAGTTGGGGTCTGAACAGGAAGCCCATCGAGTCGACCCTAGTGGCTTGTTTCATGACTCTGGTCATCATCGTGTGGAGCGTTGCTGCTCTCATATGGCCGGTTCCGATCATTGCAGGGTTCCTGCCCAACGGGATGGAGCAGAGGAGACCCAGATAAGAGAACTGGAGCCTGAGCTGCCTCAAACCTCAAACTGGAGCCATCAGCTGTTTGACTGGATGAAGGATGAATGTTGTTCTCTAACCTTTAAAACTCCTCCTCTGAGGGACAACCGAGGTAAAGTATGGAGGATTGTTGGTCATAAAAGCCCCAATATAAAGGCTTCACAACACTTTATAAACAATAATAACATAATCATGAATTTAAATGCATTAACAAGACTTTATAAAACACTTATATTAAAGCTGCTCATTGCAAACTGAACCTAAGCAGGTTGAACATCTCCAGCTGTCCATACAAAGCCCTGAAATGTGGGTCTGCGCTCAGCGTAAACGAAACACTTTAATCTGCACTTTACTCGACAAATCTAAAAGTTATGTACTAATACATATGTACCAGTACATCAAAACKATCAGAACAACAGTTTGTTGACATTRAGCTGTTTTCAGTCACTTCGGCTGTTTCCGTAGCTAAACAAACACCCGAGGGTTCACATGTTTTTGCTAACACATTTTGAGAAAATAACTGTGCACTCTAAAAATGAAATGTTGGATTTACTTAACCATGTTATGTTACCTGGTTCCACTTAACTGAGTTGAGTAAACTCAAAGCAACATACTCGTGTTCTTTGGTTAAAAAAACTGGTATATTGCTTTGAATTTACTCAACTCAGTTAAGTGGAACCAGGTAACATAACGTGGTTAAGTAAATCCAACATTTCATTTTTTACAGTGTGGGTTTTATTTCTTACKTTATAAATGTTCAGTCTGGTCAGTCGTTTGACATTGAAATTAGTTCCTTTAAAGCAAGCCGGGCTCCTTATTTTACTGTATTTTTATTCAGAAATGCAATTCTTTATAGTTGCTTTGCTTACCTTTTTTTAAAGCTAAAAACAAACTTTGTATCTAACTGCTAATACTGCTAACTTGCTGTTTATTTATGTTTAATTTTTCAAACCCAAATCATGAAGAAATTTATAAAAACCGCAACTGATTTTGCTTCAATGATCAACGTTTTACAGCTGTTTTATAAGAGATTGTTAGTGCTTTAAAACACTCAATATAACCCTAACCACAAAGTGTTAATAAAACCTTTTTATTGGGGTCTTTATTATGAAGTGATCTTGGATTATTATACTATAGCCAATATAATCTATACTGGGACCAACGTGTTTCGTAAACCCTTTAGGCCTTCCTCTATAGATTCTGTGAACTGTGCAGCCTTTTCTCTTTAAACAGTGTTTGTAAACTTTTTAATCTTTCTAGACAGTTTTAATGCCTTATATGTAGAACTTTTGCACAGAAAAATCAATTTTAAAGTGTCGTTCAGTAACTTAGACTTCAACATAGTACAAAGTACATTTAATTGTTTTTCCCCTCCCCAAATAAACCTAACAAAATATTTATGACTCATCTATTTCAGTACTTATATTGTTATATTTATAAAGTCTAGTTCATTACATGTGTTTATTTGTATTCATGTTATAACATTTAAAATGAAAATAAAACCGATTATAGCCTTTATCAGATTTTTTTCTTACCTTTTTGTGGTTTATGTTGTATTTTTACAGGTTTATAAGAGTTTAAATGTTATATGAGCACAAACGGTTAACTGTTTTGCAAACTATTATTAGTTTCGCATGAAGAGAAAAGAAAAAAAACAGTCTCCCATCCACATAGGTCTAATAAAAGCAGGTAAAAGAACAAAGCAAACAAAACGAAGATGTCATTTTTTTTCTCTCTAATGATTCCTTCTTTCAGTTTAATGCAGACTCTTAGACTTGTACTAATAAACACATYTGTGGATATTCCTCTGCTATAAGTTGCTTTTCCCACTCTGACAGAAAAGTACACTTTTATRCATCGTACATTCATCCAGTACACCAAAACCCAGAATGATTTCRTCTCTTTATCTTTAGCAGGAATAAAGTTTCTGCTCAAGGTGGGAATATAAATTCAACCCACTTCTTCCATATTTAATCACTGTGATCCATTTGAAATCCAAAGTTATTTCCTAGTTGTATATTCCTTGTGAAATATATTGAATAAATACCTTGGGTCATTTAAATGAAATATCTGAAATCTAATCTTAATTTTTTTTKAATCCCTTTTAAGAACGGTAGTTACTACAGCTATGATTGTGAACATGAAAGCCTTTAAATGCTTGTTATTTTCCCTGCGAGCTATAAACTTTTTTCTTTTCAATTGGTGCATCTCAGTATCCAAATATTGTTTGAGGTTTCCTCTTTAAAATCTCATTAAAATTCTTCTTTAGAATAACTTAATAGGATTTTGACCAAATACTAATCCTGATAAAGAAGACAAATCAAGGCAGATCTCTGGAACCTCTCATTAAATCAGGATGATTAAAATGCAAAATAAAAAACACGAATCTGAAAAAAAAAATCAGGTGTTTTTGATCAATTTAGACTTAATCTTCAGTTTGATGTGATTGGTCACATATTGTGTCTCCAAACTGTCTTGCAAAGTCTCTTTTACTATTTAATGAGTTTAGTTAAGTCTGAAAACATCCATCCGCTATCTTGACCCGCTTCTTCTTTTCTGGGTTGCGGGGGGTCAACGGTKCCCATATCCAGCAGTCACTGTGCAAATGAAGGAAGCACAACCTGGACAGACTCATCACGTGTGCAACATAGAGACAAACAAGACAACCAGTCACACTAGAGTCGCCRTGTTAGTCATGTTTTGGTCTGCGGGAGGACATTGGAGCACCYGGAGAAAACCCACACATGCACATAGAGAACATGCAAACTCTACCCAGAAAGGTCCTCTGCTGGGATTCAATCCGGCAACCTTCTTGCTGAGAGGCAACAGYTCTACCTACAGAGATGCTGCCCAGTCCCAAAACATGTTGCACATGGTCTCCAGCAGAACTGGATCATGTCCTTTGATTTTCCCCTTGRTTGGTGGGTTTAAAGTATCGTAATCATTTTCCAGCAGAGCTTTCTCTAATCTGAAAATCAGGTTGAGAACCACTGAAAACKTCTCATGTTTCCTCAGAAACTGAGAATCAAGACCTGAAATCCCCCCACAGATGTAAAAYCAGACCCACTGTTGAGAAATTCTCCTGTTTACAGTTTGAATTAAAGTATTGTCGAACCTGCAGGAACCAAAAGCTGCAAACTATTACGATATTTATTCATTTCCCCTTTGGGATCAATAAAGTCTTTTTGAATTGAATTTTCCTAACTATAAGTTGCTTTAGTGTTTAGGTCGCAAAACCAGACAAACTAAGAAAAAATGTGCAACTTCTGGAAAAGACCGCAATTTGTTTTTTTACTTTTACGGATCACTTTGTTACAGTGAGTTAGCGTGTTTCGATTTTAAGGGATTTTTTTTCTTTTAGAGGCATTTGAGGTAAAGTTTTCTCTTTCAAAAAGAAAATAAAAATGGTTCTTTTTAGTGTCAGACTATTGGCAACCGATGTAAGTTTGATTGTCAAAAACTAAACAGCTAATTTGTGTCATTGTTCTAGTTTTGTTTGTTTGCTGCTTCTTGCACCAAGAGTGTTAGGATTTACTGATAAAAAACGATTTACAAAAACATAAAGTGTCTGACAGTTAAACTGTAAAGTTTAGCCTACATGCACTGGTGATATTTTATGTCTTGTTGTCTCTTTTGTTCCGCTCATCTCAGGGAGGCCAAGACATGAAGAATTTTGAAGCTTTTGTTTCTCAACCTGCCACACAAATACTAATTCTCAGTGTTAAAATTTGGTATTACTACATATGCTATTTAACCTAAAGGTTTTACTTTTAAAAAGTACATTTGTGATGTATTTTGATTATTGTACAGTTTGTGCAATAAATGATGGTATTTTCAGGAAATCATTTGTCATTCTAAGTTTTTGTCGACAACTAAAGTTGAATAATATTTGTGTATAGTTTTGAACAATCATGAAATTATTTCATGTAATTTTATTTTGTAATAATAAACACTCACTTTATAATTCAGTGTACCTAAGAAAATTATGTCATATTTCTGTTTAACCATATTAATAGTAACAGTACGAAATGGTATTTTGTCTTACAGTGTGTTATAAACTACTGTTATTTATTACAGTATTACTGAAGATTGTTTTACATTAGTTTTAGTTTTATAGAAGTCTTATATAATATAATATAATATAATATAATATAATAACTAGTGTTCTTTTACAGTAGCTTAATATATTGTAAAGTACAGTAGGCCTAAGTTGGATAAATGTTTCCAGTACTGTAAAGTGAACAACAGATCATTTACACTGAGCCACGTCAGACAGTTTGAAAATAGATGTTTGAGGAGTTTGTAGGAGAAGTTTGAGACCCATTTCTCCTCATTTGTTGATTCAGAAGTAAGTACTTGTATTTTTTTTTGGCTTTATTTTTGCACGTAAGTGGATTAATTACMAGATGATTTGCAGTGTGTTCATTATTTTGATCACTCTGGTATTATAAAAGACTTCATTTGTAAATAAATCACAGTTTTTTTCAGAAAAATAGTAATTCTGTGGGAGAAGGGGTGACTTGAATACTCACAGATACCTGGATTTTTATTTACAGTACATACATCAGATGTCTATAGGATAACTATTGGAGCACTTTAAACTCTGGGCTTGTGGTCACATTTTGTGACAACAAAACAAAGAAATAGGAAGAACTTTAAAGATATTACAGAGTCATGAAGTACTTCATCTGCTGCACAAATCAATTTGATTGTAAAAAATTGTTTATCACGTGTTGAGGAGCTGAACATCTTGTCCCTCCTGTCTGTCTTCAGACTAAACTCTTCATCGTTCATTAAATTTGTTCCTCCTCCCGAATCAAACAACTATGTTGTGTTCTTCAGTTTACAAGAGGGGTGGGCAATCCTGGTCCTCGAGGGCCGCAGTCCTACATGTTTTACATTTTTTTCCTGCTCCAACACACTTGATTCAGTCACTGAATGACCTCTTCCAAGGTCGGCTGTACGGAGGACCAAAACTGACATAATTAGAATTAAAGGCAGAAACATGTAAATGAACCACTAAATAAGTAAATACGTTTAAAATGC